TTAGTATTCTTATCTCTTAGTTTTTAGGGTTTGTTTCTTGTATTTTGTCCATTGCTTTCTTTGTAATTAGGTTTTTTGGTATCTTTTTATTAGCACCAGTTCATTAGTCGTTATCTGTAATAACGTAATCATTAGCACTTCGATCCTATTTAACGCTCTTTTTTCATTTCAAAAGTTGCAAATAACTGAAGAAGGTCTCTGACTGAAACGTTTTTTATTAAAATTGTTTACATTTTTTACGTCAGAAGTTGTCCATCCTCGCAATTTTTTAAACTTTCTACGTCGTGTTGGCTGTGAGGTTTGGACTGGGAATCTTTATTGATCCTCCTGGCGTGGTGCACCTTTGTTGGCCTGAGAGTTGAGAAGAAAAGAAAAATGTATACATAATACTATATTTAAAACATGTACACGATATATCTAAGAAATATTAAAAGCTAGTTTGGATAAATGAGTCTTGAGTTGAGTTTTAAAACTTGCAATACAATTCACACTGCGCAAGCTGGCTGGAAGAACGTTCCATTTGTGGGTGTGGCCACACCAAAAGTCACCAAAAGTTTTATTCATTCTTCCTGATGGATACTCTAAACAAATACCATCGTTTGAACGCAAGGAATATCATGTGTTCTTTTTTTACATTAATTAAGTCAGCTAAGTAGGCTGGTGCCATTCCATGAAGAACTTTCAGTTATTGAGGCCTTTTGTTCCCGATCTTAGGTAACATTTTTTTTATTTTGATATATTCTCTAAGTCTGGAAGAAGACTTTGTACGATGGAGAGAAGCATTCTGGCCAGCAGTTTTAAGCAAGTATAACATTGATGTCAGAGAAATCAAGAGGTATTATATTAAATTTTGCAAGTACAAATGAAATTTTTATGTCCGTAACATTATACTTCTGTTTTGTTTCCTTTTGGGGGGAAGTGCTGGATCATTTGATGACTCCTTTGGGAGGTTTTTTTTTTTTTTTATAATACCCCTTTGGGAGATATCTCTTTTGCTGAGAACACGAGAGGGAGTGAAAATAGGGAATTGAAATCACTCAAATGATTTTTTACCTAATTTGAATTGTGTGGGAACAAGGATGTACACTCATAAGCCAAATCTCTCTTTTCTTTTCTTACAATGTTAACAATTGAAACCTGACACTTCTGTTTTTGTCAATTTAGAATGTAACATGAGCAATATTCTGTCGATGCAGTTAGATAAATGCACATAGATTCGTTTCAATAGCAAAGCTTTTGTTTTAATTTCAACATGGCTACTACTAAATCCCTATGTTTGCTGTAAACAAAATACTGCTGCTACTTGATATCATTGTGAAGATTTTAAGACGTGATGTCTGGTATTTCTTTTCCCCCGTCATCCAAAACAACTCATGGCTTAAGTGGGTAACTATTCCTTGGAAAATCTACATGTGGTCAAATTAATTTTAGATGTATCGTTATATTGCAAAGATGTCAACCACTGGAGATCTTAAATCTGCATGGAGATGTTTGATATCTGGGTAACATCTCCACCTCCCAAAAAAGGTATGTACCTAGCTTATATTTGTGTTTTATATGTTTTTCAGGAGACTATCTTCTTGTATTGATCGACAATTCAGACTTGAGGTTCTTAAGGACTTGCCAGAGGACAAAATTTATACAGGAGAGATGAATAAACTGAAGTCGTACATCACTCAAAGACCGTATGTACAGACCGAAAACTTCATTCATGTTTTTGTTTCTTTTCTCAAATAGTGAGCTTGATATGAGGTTTATGACTCAGATCTCATGGATGATCTGTTCTGGTTTTCAGGCCTTTTGATGCTAAGAACCCATTCATGGCTAAGGTTCTAGTGAATCGTGAGCTGCACAAAGCTGGAGAACGATCCTGTATGCACATTGAACTTGATATCACTGGCTCTAAAATCAAGTATGTTGTCTAACATTAGTTTGCATTAGCCTGCAGAGCAGGCATAATTTGGGCGAGTAAGTGCTTCGTATTTTCTTAGCAAAAAATGGCTGCCACCTTTGATTTTCATGGCAGTGGAAGGGTAGGGAGAGAAAGTGATTTGTACCAAGGGAGTGAGAGACAGTCAAAAATGAGGAAGGGGCTGGGTTGAGAGAGTGAAAATTACTTCTCTCCCTTTCCCTGCCCCCCCCTACCACCACCATTGACGCTGACTCCAAATCAAACATGGTGTTTGGATAAATGATCATGAGCTTATAAAGCTGACTTGCCCTAAAAAGACTCCTGAACTGCAGACTAAGTTTGCATGTGTGTTTTATATTGGAGATGTGTGCCCTCTTTTTGCTCTTAGAAATGAAAGCCTCCTATTGAATATGATTGTTGAATACTAGCAGATCAATGAGGCCAACAGTCAGTATAAGGGTTAGAGTGGTTGGAAAGAGGTAGTGAACCTGCAAACTTCCTGCAGTTGATCATAGAATTTGTTGCCCTTGTGATTTCCTTGATATGTACTTAATTAGAGTGTGTAATTCTACCAAGGTATGATGCAGGAGACCACGTTGCTGTTTATCCCATGAATGATCCTGAACTTGTGGAGAAACTAGGAAGCCTCTTAAATGTGGATCTTGACACAGTCATTTCACTGAATAATACAGATGGTAGGAGAATAATCATTGTGTAACTACTATAAAATTCTGTTGAAACTCCTTGTCATCTTTGCTCGCTTTGGTTCCAAGTTCTGATTGACATGATTGAATTCAGTCAAAAGTTTGTTTTCCATAAGTGATGCCATTACTTAAGTAGTAATTGAACTTCTCACACACCCCTGGGAGCCATAGTCCAGCTGACTGCCGCCAACTGACTCTTTTATTTCTCAAACCAATACGGCCCAGCATTATACGTAATGTAGGCAACGTACAGTAATATTAAAAAACAGTTACAAGCTTAGTAAGACTCTATGCTGACAGTCCTAATAAAGAATATCTAACCAACAGAGTGTGTTATCAACTCAAACGAAGGGTTGGGTGGGAACTTGTGGGGCTCAAAAATACACATCAGCAATGGCGGACAGTAAAACAGCAATTGATAAAATATACTGAGCACGTGACTCAAAAACAAACCCTTGGCCCCAGGCTCGAGAGGTGTGTGAGAAAACATTTTCCACTTATTTCATTCCTCAGCCAGTGGAAAATACAACTCTTTACACCCCAGTATCAGTATGCATATTCTCCATATTTTTCTCCATACATTCCCAAGGTTCCAACAAGGAGAATTTGTTTAACAAAGAAGAGTTTCTTTATGTTGAGACAGCCATAAGGTTCTGGTTGTGATCATTTCCTGTGTTCTCATGACCTTACTGTTTGAGTTGGGGTGATACTGTAAAGAGAAAGTAGATGCTAATCTCTCTTAGGGGTCAACAGAATAATCTTTGTGGCTCACACATTCAACTAAAGTAGGGTTGAAAGTTAGCTCCTGTAGTTTTTTGCACAAAAATACTATGATGAAGTAAAATTGTTGACTTTTTTTAAAACTCTAGCAATGCTAAAATTGTTTTTGATTTATTCAAACTGTTTCAGTGCTGTAAAATTTTATTTTTATTCTCTATATCAAGTTTAAACTTACATGTCTTGAGAAACCCTTTAAACCCTTAATCTCTCAGGATCTGATGGTTAATTCTCCCCTCTAGCTGCTACACATTCCCTTGTAAATCAGTTAGGAGTATTTGGTGTAAGATCGAGATAACAACTTTTACCTGGCAAGTTTGAGTATTCTCATTACCTGTTTGCTGGATATTGCATGGTATATCATGAGGAGAAGTTAGAGGTCAATCACCTCCAGGAGCTAAAGGGTTAACAAGACATATACCCTTGACTTTCTCAGTTATTACAGCCACTTTTAAATCACTGGTGGTCCCTGTAATCTGTTTGGCTCTAATTGGTGTGATTTATTCCCAAATAGCACCATTTTTTGCTCTAAATCGCATCATTTTACGCTTGACTGAGTTTTTGACACATGACATCAGTCTTACTGTTTTCCACACAAAATAAGATGTAAAAGCGTTTCAGGTTCCACTTTTTGTTTAAAAAACGGCTTAGTTCTGCATCAGTAAAATACTTGAATTGACCAAGTCCTGTATTTGGGGTGATTTCAAAATGGATGTAATAAAGTGGTAATTGAACCTCATGTCATGCAATTTTGGTCTGAAATCATACTTGTGATTTCAAATTGAACTTGCACTGCGCGCTGGTTCGATTTTCAAATGTTGCGTATGATTTCAGCCCAAATTGCACTCCACTCAGTTCAATTACCATTATAAATTCTATGTCTGCCCATTCTAGATATTGGTTATTGTGTACTCAAAGGCTTGTATAGAACTTGTCAGAAAGATTTAGGACTGAACACTCTTCCTTTTACCAACTTAACTGACACTTGTATTGTTTGTGTATTGTCATAAATCATAAGGATAACACCATGACTGACATCTTTATGGAAGGTTGTGGGCAGGAAAGTCTTATGATATCGTATCCTTTGAGGTTTAATCTCAGGGGTTATGAATCATAGGATTATCTGTCTAAGGAACACTGCGCGGGGCTCGTCATTAACGGCTGCCTGCTTGGTTGGGGCAACAAAAAATTTCAACGGGGCAACTAAGTTTCAGATCCTACTTGCCCAATTGGGCAACTGAAAATTTTTGTGAAAGTTGTAGGTTATCATGAAAAACTCAAAGACTTTATTTCAGCAATTAATAAATTATAAGGAATGAGGTGCGGGATATCCTTTAAAAAAGTACATTCGTGTGTGTTTTTCAGCTCACTCTTTTTTTCTTTCCCGCGTTAACCGAAGTGTGAAAAAGTTGTCTAGACAAATCGTCTAGAGAAACTGTCACGCTTGTCAGACAGGTCAGTTTGTGTTAGCAACTTCAAAATGTTAGATTTTGTGCATTGTGTACTTTAAAATTCTGTTCAATAGTTTATTCTATCCCATATCTGGTGTTATTCTTTGAGTCAAAATGCAGAACTGAAGTCCAACCAGTTTTGAGCTACCACAGATGATTTATTTCTTCAAGCGTGAAACATGCCAGTTTGTCTAGACACGTCTGGACAAGTCGTTACAGCACATGATTGTACAAGTGCATTTTAAAAAGAAACAAATAACTTAACATGGAGATTTCAATCATGAATGAAAAAAAATACTATCCTGCCAGTCAGCACTGCGTGTTGTGAACGTGGCTTCTCTTATGTAAAACGAATTAAAAGTAACTTGAGGAGCACCCTCCCTACTGAAACCCTTGCTGTTTTGGTGCACGTTTCCCTCAATGGAAGATATCTGGAGGAGTTTGACCCCATGCCAGCTGTAAAGCACTGGTGGGAGATGGGGGAGAGAGCCAGAAGGCCTGGATTTAGGCCACACTAAACACTTGGTTGATATCGCTAAGAACTTATTCTGATGTACGCACACTGAGCTTAAATGTGAACAAATTTCGTTTAGAATATTATCCTCATTTATCCCCTAGTAACTTAGAATAAACATAAAAGATAGTTAATAAAAAGGTTCCTGTTTTGCTGATAAAGCTTTATTTAATTTGTTTGTACGGAATGTTTTGGGCAACTAAAATTCTTCGTCGGGCAACTAGATTGTAAGGGTTTGTTGCCCTTTGGGCAACAAACTTAAAAAGTTAATGTGTACCCCTGTGTGCTAAAGAATATGATCTAAATAGTCATATGAAGTCTAAGAATATCTGACACCTATATTTCTGTAAGCCCAAATATTTTAATTTACACCTCTCTGTGCAGTTGTGGGTAGTGAGATGCGGCAATGCCATATCTTTTTACTTGATTTGAAGGCATGTGAAATTGCTTCACTTTACTATCTTCTTTAAATTTCAATTTTTTTTTACTTCTTGCTTGTTTATCATTATTTGTTTGAATTAATGAGGAAAAAAAATTTAGTCACTATGACTCTCTCCCTCTTCCCCAAATTCAACTCAAAGCCTCCCTGCCAGAACTTCAGGTTTCTAATGAGCTCCTTCTGTCCCAGAATTGTATTGTTATTCATATACGCTTGGCAGGTTCTTGATTCATAACAGTTATTTTTGAAAATGTGTACAGTTGAACTTGTATTAAGTGGTACTGTATGTAAGCCATCCCCCTGTATTAAGTGGTCAGAATATTACAAATGTTACATAATTGCAAAGTGAGAAAAATAGAAATGTCATGTTCCAATTGTTTACCTTGTAAGAAAAGAAAGAGAGAGAAAAATGTTTCAAGAGACAGATCTGGCTAATGTAGTTACATCCCTGTTCCCGCCCAATTCAGATCATGTAAGGAATCATTTGTTGAGATTTGAATTCCCTGTTTTCACTCCCTCTGGTGTTCTCAGCTGTTTGCGACAAATCTCACAAATCTAAACCCCCAAAGGAGACACCAAATGGTCCAGCAAAGCACTTCACCCAATCATGCAAAAAAATTGAGATAGATCAAATTGTACTCACAATAAACTTGTTGTGATAGTTATGTTTCAGAGGACTCACCAAAGAAACATCCTTTTCCTTGCCCCACAACTTATCGCACTGCCCTCCTGCACTATGTGGACATTGCCAGTGTGGTCAAGACTCATGTGTTGAGAGAACTAGCAGAGTATGCAAAGGATTTTGAACACAAAGAGTTTCTCACGAACATTACAGATACAACAGAGGAGGCAAAGGTGGGTTTTCTTTTCCCTGCAGTGTCAAATGAATTTTGATCATTTAGAATGTAATCCCTTGCACAGAGAGATGCATTGTGTTAACTGTTTACACTTCTATGCGAGTATACATATTCTCCATATGTGTTTTATATACATTTTCCAAGGTGCTGACAAAGAGAATTTGTTTAACAATCGAGATCTTTTGTAGTTGGTGATCATTTTCTTTATTCTCATGACCGTAATGTGTTTCAGGGGGTGATATTGTAAGGAGAAATTAGATACAGGTCACTCTTGGGGATCAAAGGGTTATGAGGTTTTAAGGATGACTCATTCCCTATTTGACTGGGTTGTACCCACACCTCCATTCTTACATGAACTCAGCCTTAACTCATTGTGAATAAAGATAAGTAAGGAAGAAATCTGGCATGTATTGCTCAACCCTTTAACTACCAAGATCTGATTGCTAATTCTCCCCTCTAACTGCTACACATTCCTTGTAAATTATTTACCAGAATTTGGTGTTAGATCAAGATAAAAACTTCTGCCTGACAAGCAGGGGTTTCAAAATGTTTTGAAGTGGATGGCCGACTCTGGAAAAGTAGGCGGCTGTGATAACGCCGAGATTGTTTGTCACAAGCAGACTGTTATGACCACAGTAGCCGGCGACATACAATCAAGTCGCTGGCGGAACTCCAGCAGTTGCTGGCTTGTTTTGAAACCACTGGACAAGTTTGAGTATTCTCATTACCTGTTTGCTAGCTAATGTATGGATATTACAATCATATGGGAATTTAGGTATAAAACACTGCAGGGACTTTAAGGTTTAAAAGGTATAATTTGAAAAATGTTCATTTCTCACTAGAAACAATATCAAGACTGGGTTCTTACTCCACATCGGCATGTTGTTGCTGTCTTAGAAGATCTCTCCTCTTTAAAGCCACCTCTGGATCACTTGTTGGAGCTTTTACCTCGATTGCAGTGCCGTTATTACTCTATATCATCCTCACCTAAGGTAAAAACTACCAAGAATTTGAATTGGTTTTATCAGCTGAGTTGATAAAGTAAACTGGCCACCAGACAGAGTTTCCAAAGCTGACATTTCAAGCATTAGCCTTTTTGTCAGATCATTTGAAATACTTTTTAATTCTTCAGTTAGGGGGCTGGGTGTTATTTCATTACATCAACATTAAAATTTTTTTAAATTTATTTTTCATATATATATATATATATATAAGAATGTTAATGCTTCACTTGACAAGTCTGTATGTTTGTCATGAACATAAGACACATCAAGGTCAAAATTTTCATGAGTGTGCATATTACATGGCTGTACAGATACTGTGGCTGGATGGTTAACAGACTGGACTGGACTCTGGATCTAGAGATTTGGATTTGTCATGTAGCTGTGTGTTGTGTGTTGTGTTCTTTGGAAAGACACGTTGGGGACCTTAAGCAGTCAGGATGGCAATGCCAAGGAAGACTTCCATTAAAAAATGAATTTCTACTCTTAGTCAGACTTTCAAAAATGGCTGCATGAGCTCACTGTCTCATACGGCACCACAACTCAACTTCAGCATGACGTATAGAAGTAGCGTTGAGTTCCAAATGGAAATTAAATTAATTAGCCATCATGGTTTTGGTTCGCAGATGACGCAAATTTTGGCAATTTCACGTTGTTGTTTTGCATAGGACAGCTAAGAAATGTAGAAAGTTTCAAAACGCACGTGCTGAGCTATTGTTCTGCCAATTAGATCTCTTGTTTTTCCACGTGCTCGTTGCCGTTGCTGTTGTGGTTGCTTAAGGTCCCTATTATTCTCACAGTGCCTCCCTCCACCCAAGAGAATAAACGAGGACAGGTGAATTGTCAGGGAAAGCTGAAATGCCTGGAGGTAACAGAAAATGGGATAAACACTGCCTGGATGGGCCACTTGGCTTGACCTATTCACCCTATATGACCTATGGCTTGGGAGTGTTTCCTCTAACCTTAAGAAAGTAGTGTTGGCTTAATTGTATGTAGCAGACAATTTTTATAAGTAAGAACAACTTGCTGTCGCAATTGAGGACTTGGGGTAACCTGCAAAGTTTGCATGTTAATTTTCTTCTAGATGTATCCCACCTCCATTCACATCACTGCAGTACTTGTAAGGTGGAACACATCCTCTGGTCGAGTACAGAAAGGTGTTGCTACTAACTGGCTTGCCACCAAGAAGCCTCAGGGTAATGTAAAATAAACCATATTTAATGGATTTAAGTCTACTTGTGAGAAATGCTGAAAAGGTGTAAGGTTGAAAAAGGTGCAAAACACTCTAGCACTCTATAAATTGGATATATCAACAAAGTTGAAATGGTAAATTGCCCACCGTAATGATTACAAAAGCTGAAGTTTCGAGCATTTCGCTCCGACAAAGGGCTAACGCTTGAAACGTCAGCTTTTGTAATCGTTACGGTGGCCAATTTACCATTTCAACTTTGTTGACATATCCAAATTGTTTCGTTACCCCCACTGACGCGGCCCCAAACAGTTTCTTTAGAAACTATCAGCCTTTACTCTAGCACTCTCATTGACTATCTCCCAGGTGTTATAGATCCATCATCAAGATCATCACATCTTTTTTAGCTATTGACTAAATTTTGTTTTCAGTAGGACCAGGCTACTTCAAATCTTTTCCTGAACCTAAATGATTTACCAGAACGTGCTAACATTCCAAATTCCAATTCAGTCTGGAAACAGTGGACAAGAGAGCCACCCAGTGGAATGTCCATCGCGAATTAAAATTATTTATTTATTTATTTATATAACATTTAATACCTTTCAAATATCTTATTGTTGAAAAGTTTCTGAGAAACATCTCTCTCCCCCAATCTGATACCATTTACTCTATCCTTACAGTCAAAATTTGTTATTTAATTTACAGAGCTTGAAAATGCTTGTGTGCCTATCTTTGTTCGGAAAACACAGTTTCGTCTACCATTCAAATCAGTGACCCCGGTTGTTATGGTGGGCCCTGGAACTGGTTTTGCTCCATTCAGAGGATTTATACAGGACAGACATGTGCAGAAACAAAATGGTCAGTAACTTGTTGCTTTATGCTCAACAGGAACGTGCAGAATCAGCTTTAAGAAACTTGAAGAAAGATTAATGAACACCTACCATCTGGTTAGGGCTGTGGGTGAAAGGGTCAGCGTGACCTTCTTTGACGATGGCTGGAGTGACTGTTTATGATTAAGGTTTCTGGAAGCATAGACTGCTAGTTTTCATCTGGTCAGAAATGTTCAAGGAGACATGTTTCTAAACTGGCAGACAATAACATTAGCTGTATCAATTTTTTTTTTTGTTTGAGTAATGTGATATACTTTCCTATACTCTTGTCATGACAGCTGCAAGGATAAAATCTATGTTTTGCAGTTGCTGAATGGTTTATCTTGGGAACTATCAATTAAAAAAAAATTCAACTGATCATATTGAACAATTAGCTCTCTAACTCCCAAGATGTGATAGTTTATTCCCCTCTCTAACTGCTACACATTTCCTTGTAAATTAGTTACAAGAATTCGGTATTGGATCAAGATAAGTTCTAACTGATAAGTTTGAGAATTCTCATTACCCGTTTGCTGGATAATGTATGGATATTATAGGGAGAAGTTACATGTTGATCACTCCTGGGAGTTAAGGGGTTAACTAGAAATGTCCATCCTAAGACTTTGTTATCATAGGAAGTGGCAAGCTTTTCTCTCCAGGAAAAAAAATTGGTGACATGGAGTTGTTCTTTGGCTGCCGCAAGAAAAGTGAAGACTACATCTATGAGGATGAGCTTTCATCATATACACAAGATGGTACCATTTCAAAATTGCATGTGGCCTTTTCCAGAGACCAGGTAAGGTCTTATCATGGTGCCGTCTATTGTCTGATGTGAATCAAGCTAATTGGCCCCACTCAAACTCATTATCTATAGGTATTTAACCCTCTTCACCATAATATCAGTATGCATATTCTCCCTCCCGCAGAGACATGCAGTACATTAACCCTTTACACCCTAACATAAGTATGCATATTCTCCATACTGTTCTCTATACATTTCCTGAGGTGCTGACAAGGAGAATTTTCTTAACAATCAGAGCTTCTTTAGTTGGTGACCATTTCCTAGATATTCTCACAACTTGATCTTTGACTCAGGGGTGATGTTACAAGGGTAAATTAGTTGTTAGTCGCACTAAGGGTAAAGAACTAGACTGGTTGCATATTCTCATATGGTGGGTGCAGTAAAGGACAGCTATTAGGTTTAATGGTTTTTTTTTTTTTTAACTTTGTCTTTTTTTTTTATTTTCAGGAGAAGAAAGTTTATGTTACCAATCAAATGACAGAAAATAAGGAGAATATTTGGAACATATTAAACAGTGGAGGCCACATCTATGTTTGTGGGTAAGGAACTTTTTTGTAAAGTCATAGCACAGTTTGAGGAGAAGCAACTCAACATAAAATAGAAAATCAGCAGATCAGACTAAAAACACTCTTAGATGCCAGTAATCAAGCGAGTAATTGTTTGAAAGGAACTCAAAAGTACAGTGCTTAGCAAAGTACTAAAACTTAAGGAAATGAGTCTGGTTTCATACATATTAGATTTTCCCTCTAGATACCCTGTACACTGTAATTCTGTGTATCCTTAAAGTAGTTAATGTAAGTATTGTAAATAATACTCTTTGTGTGGTTATAATTGAAAAAAGGTAATTTGAAGAAAAAGTATGTGATCAACAGTCCAACTATTTGACTTCTTTATTTTAGTGATGCTCGTAACATGGCACGTGATGTGCACAACATACTGTTGACAATTGTCAAGGAAAATGGTGGCATGTCTGAAAATGAGGCAGCTGATTATGTGAAGAAACTCAGTGCTAAGGGAAGATACTCGGTTGATGTTTGGAGCTAAATTGTAGATAACAACCCCACTGCATCATGGCATGTATGACTATGTGACTGACGCAGAGGGATAAACATCATATGTGTATTTTTTTTTGAATATATAGGTATATTTTAGTAGATTTGAAACAAGTAGGAATTTGTTTTTAGAAATTGGATTGACATTCCAAGAGCACTTTCTGAGTATGCTAGCCCTTTAACCCCTAATTATAAGAGTGAGAAGCATGTAGTTTCTCTGTACAATATTACTCCTAAATAAAAAATTGAGGTCCTGAGAATAAAGGAAATGATCAGCAACTGAAGAAGCTCTTGATTGTTGAACAAATTCTCCTTGTCAGGCCCTTAAGAAATGTATAGAGAACAGTATGGAGATTATGTGTACAGATAATAAGGTGTAAAGGGTCAACCTAAATTATTCATTTGTTGGTCTAGATATGAGGCACATGCAGGTTTGCATACTATTCAAGAATAATATAAGAAATAATTCATATTTACACCTATGGAGGGTGTGTGACAGATTGATCTGAGCTTCAAGTAACGAAAGAAATTCTTGCCACAAGAAAGAAAGAAAACTCGTGAGTGACCAAGTCAGAATTTCTCCTTACAATATCAAGAGAATATCAAGCAGACAAGTGATGAGAATAAAGTAAAATATCAACCAGGGGATTATTGGTTGATCCAATGCAAAATTCTCCAAACTAACATCATAAGAATTGTTTGGCTGACAGTAAGGAGAATTAGTGAATGAGATCTTGTGAGTGTGAGGGTTAAGGTTGAATTTCCTATTAGCAGTTTATCTGGTAGAATTGACAGTGCCATTTGTGATAACTCAAGAAATCTAGAGATCTTGTTTCTTTTTGCCTTCATGCAATATTTCTGATGAATACCTGTGAAGGTCAAAATTTCATGTCCTTTTGAAATCTTGAGAATCCAGCACTCTTTTCTTAAAGGAAGAAGTGTTTGCTCTCCTGAAATTTTCCAGTAATACTTTTTACAAAAGTACCATTAAGTCAGTTACCTATCAGTTACCTATATTCATGAGGAATAGAATAAATTAGGATGATTAAACCAGGATAGAAAGTTGCATGCGAAAAGGACAGATTTTACTGCAGTTTGAAAGCTCAGAAAAATTAAAAAAAATATACAAATCATCAGAGCTTGACTAGAAGAGGTGAAGTATGTTTCTCAGTGAAATATTTGTAAAGGTCTAAGAGAACTTTGAGCCTGAAAATTTGCATAGTAGGCATCTTTTTAAGATGACTTCAAAATTGACTGAATCACTGTGTTGATAGAAAGTTTACATGAACTGTTAGGCCAATTTGTCACCTGAAGTGTTGCAATTTGATGGTGAGTCAGTGATAATATCTATTTATTACACAACTCGGGCAGTCAGAGGGCCAATAACTAAAATCAGCCTATCAAAATGCTCTATTGCGGATCAATATTCTCTCAGTATTGGACGGGGCACTGTCCCGAATGGTCCTGAATGATACCGCACTTTTGTCCCTTTGAACTTCAATCGTATAATAAATCTCTTATTAACCAAGCTTGCTCGGGACCGTACTGGAGGAATATCGGCACTCGGTCCGTACTGTCAAGACCTCGGGCCAATATTCTCCCAGTACAGCCCTAGCGCTTGGTTAATAAGATATATTTAATTTATATCACAAAAGAAAGTCCATGCACGGTGATCTGGTGAGAAAGTAATGTTGTGGTGAGGTGGCTAATTGAATATAACTGAATAAACTGCAATCTAAGAAAGTAGAGGATGAAGTTTGTTTGAATAAAATTCCAAACTCTTTTTTTTTTCTTGTACGTAATTTGTTTTGTTCAACAGACCCAAAATTCTGATTATTACTTGCAAAAAGCACCTGTGAATTAACACCCGATTGGTTACAATAAACCTTTGAATCCTAAGATCTCAAATAGCTTGATGTTACACTGAAATTGTAGGGGGGTATTATGTTGTGGTCACTCTTGGAAGGGAAAGGGTCAACTCCTCTGAGCAAAGTCATTTTAAAAATTATTTGTAAGGTGCAAAACAATCAAAATAATGACCCATTTTATTCATATATCTTAGCAATACTTCAAAACTGAAAGAAAAAACTAAATTTTTCATGTATTCCAGTAGACAATGATTGGCAGAGCCTTCTTGAACTGGTTATAACAGAAGGTCAGCTTACTGTAATGTAAAAAAATATTTTGCCTATAGTTCCACATGATCCTGTTTTGGGCCACTAAATTCTTCATGGGAAATAACACCATCTTTATCCTTGTCTTCGTGCTCAAATATTTCTGATACAATGGTTTCATGTTGGTTCTCATCCTCATTTGGATAACCATTCTGTTCCTTCAGATACTGTTTTACTTCTTCTATGCTAAGTTCCTTATTCTTGTCTGCATCAATCATGTTAAACACATTAGGGTAAGCCTCAGACTCTACCTCTCCATCATTTTTTATTTCTTTTAGTTCAACATCAAACAGCAGATTGGCCCCTGGAGGTATCACATCACCAGCTCCTCGGTCTCCATAGCCTGTGTAGTAGAAAATAAATTCACATCAGCACGTGAATATTCCAATGATTTATGTGGTTATTTATTTGATACAAAATGAACCCGACCACTGTACAGTTTGAAGTGAAAAGCTGCAACTTTCAACCTCTTTAAACATGAACAAGGAAAAAATTAGTGGAATAATTCATTGTTTGAAGATGTGTACTAACAACCCTTCCCCCCTCCCTGAAAATTACAACATCTATTTGAGAGGAGTATAGCCTGCGTAGCGGCCCTAGAGGAAGGGGGTGTGGAGCCAAGCGGAGAGAGGAACCCTAACCCTATCCTCTCCCCAAGCCTTGCTCTGCTTGCCCTCCTATCCCTTCCCCAAGCCTCGCTCCGCTTTGCTCCCCCTTCCCCCCTCCCTCTACGGCCACTACGTAGGCTAAGAGGAGTATGATATATCCTAGTCCTTTGAGGTTTGTCAGTTTTCTATAATTGATTTGACTAAGAAATATGAAAGTTAAAAAAATCTGCCTCCAACATGAAGGAAGCAATACAATTCTTTCTTTATTATCAATATTCATGTTAACTGTTTATGTGCTCTAGCATTTGATGACATTTAATTTAGATAGAGACCCTCTGATTGACAAATTCTCCACACTAATACCTTCAAATAAATGGTAAGTAGAAGGAAGAATTACTGATAAGATCATCGGATTTTAAGGGATGAGTTGTGTCACATGGTACACAAAAAGACAGTGTAGTAACAATAGTGTCTTTGAAGCTTATGTGACATAGTCGAAATGTGATCTGTTAAATTGAAAAAGTACACGTGGAAATTTTGAGCAATCTGCTTTCTGAAAACGTTTGCTGATTACTGTCTTGAAATAAATTAACTTCACTGTAAGAAAGTAGATTGGTAATGGTGCTGTGCTCACTCATCCCCATCTCGCCAAATGTTTGCAAACATCTTTGAAAAGGGTAGCGTAATTAAAAGCATTCGTGGGCGGTTTGCATAATTTATAACAAGGGCAGCTTTGTGCGTTCTAGAATTTTTTGAAATTTCTGTTGAGATAGATCATTCCAAGCACCGGCAAAATAATGCTTACAGAGAAATATTACTTTTGTCGAAATATAAAGTTCTTTCGATAGTTATGATCGGACACAATTTGACAAATACCTACAGAGGTGGATAACAAATTCGCGTCAACACTTACCTAGATGTGCTGGAACCCTAAGTTTTCTTTTCTCCCCAACACACATATCCTTGAGTCCTTCCTCCCAACCTTGGATAACCTGGCCTTTCCCCATGGTGAAATCAAAGGTTTGTTGGCGTTTGTGACTGGAGTCAAACACTGAACCATCTTTCTCAAGGCGGCCTGTGTAGTCCATTGCTAGAAGGTCACCATCCTTTGTTTTACGAGTGCATCCTTCTGGTTTGTAGACAACTTCGATCGTCACTCCTTCCTCTTCCCCACAGCACAGCGTGGAGAAAAAAGCAAGCAGCACCAGCAGGTTCATCCATTCCGTGAACCACATTACGAGAGGGTTTTGATTAAAACTCACACACTGATGACAATGATAGGTGGAAATAATTTCAAAACTTCCAGTTTTGTACCCTTTGGTCCCAGTCCCCTTAGCCAAGACTTGGCTGAGTCCGTGGCCCCTGGACCCCTAGCTACTTTAGCGGGTAAAAGTAAATGCTTTTAGACGTGAGGGTGATCTGAATGACCTTCCAGTTTCGCGTTTTTTTCCCTCGTGTACATCTATCTTTAGGTATATTCAAAACTACCTTCCGGAGTACCTCCTATGATTTCCCACCCCAAAGGAACCAATTTTTGAAAAAAAAAAAACAACAACAACCAACCAACAAACAAACAAATAAAGTAAACAACAACCAAAATTCAGTCGTCGAAAGCGGTAATACTGCCACTGATAAGATTCATTAGCGTATCAACCAACAAACAAACAAATAAAGTAAACAACAACCAAAATTCAGTCGTCGAAAGCGGTAATACTGCCACTGATAAGATTCATTAGCGTATGTTGCTCATACCAATCAGATTGCGCCGTGTATGCTGCTAGCACCAATCAGCTTGCGCCGGGTATGCTGCTGGCACATACACCAGGTGATCAGATAGCCTGCAAACATTGCGCCAATTACACTGCTCGCGCCTATCAGATTGCACCGGGTATGACGTTCCCTCCAATTAGACCGCTCCGGGTGTGGTGCCTCGCATAAGACAGATTGCGCAGCGTATGCAGTCCTTTCCAATAAGATTGCGCCGGGTATATTACACGTACCAATCACTTAGCGCTGGGTAATCAGTTTCATTGCACCAGTTAGATTACGCCGGGTATGCTACTCGCGCTAATTGCACACGGTGTGTTGTTTGAACCAGTCAGATGCGGATTGCGCCTGGTATGTTACTCGTACCAATCAGATTAGAACAAATGGTTTATTGATTCCACCATTCGAAATGTAGCATTGAGATTTGTCATGTTTTGTGTATATAAATGCAAAAATATAGGTGCCAACGATCGAAGAAAACGTTTTTTTCTCCGTTTTTTAAAATCAAGATCATTTGATGCTTGACAACGCTACTGCAAAAGCAATGGCAGCGCTTCGTGCATGTCACGCACAGCCTATTGTTTATTTGGCTTCGTGATTACCCCTTCTTGGCAAAGTTCGAAAAAGATCAGTAAGTTAATATTTACTCTGTACCTCGACTGCCACCCCAAGTACCCGCTTCTTTGCAATTGCATTTATAGGTTTAAACAATATTTTCCTAATGCAGGTCACTTTAAATTAGGCTTTTACACCAGAAAACGGTCCATTTTTTCAATAAGCAGCCTTACTTTTACAGTATAAACCTACCCTACGGAAAAAAAAAAGATAACAGGGCCCAAAATGGTACTGCTAGTCAATTTTCAACTCAATCCTCATGCGCTTTAAAGTTTATTACGATCAAATTCGCTTTTAGCTTCCTTGGACCTTATTCCATTACGGGTCAATTCCGCGTAAACAACCTGCATTTTATCACATATTTCACGCGCAGACAACAAAGGGAAGAGCCCAGTTGTATATGAGGATAACACTATACGGATAAATCACTATCCAGTGGATAATCGATGGCAAAACATACTGCGCTATCCATCGGATAGAGATTTATTCAGTCGCTGGCGTTATCCAACCTTCGAATAACCGGAACCAGAGGGGCAAAAACCAATTTTAAAAGAGCCCACGTAGTTGGGCTCTGGTGAAAGTTATTGAAATACGATCCTTTGCTCTTCTTTGAAGGAATCGTGGTAGGCGTGGTACGATTGCAGGTTAAGTTATTTCTGTCATGGTTCTACGAATAAAAATTACAGAGTTCAGCTATGGGCCACAAAATACCGGTACCTTTTGTCCGAGGTTATTTCAGTTGAATTTGAAGAGATTTTCGCTCTCTTTCATTGTGAAGTAACGAGATTTTTTATTAGCAATGCTTTGAAAGTTAATGCCTTTCTTTTTTTTTTACAAAAATGAAAACGTCCGTTACACAGTGGCCCACCCCAACCCACCCATCCAAAAAAATCGGGATCAATGTTAGTATCTGAGCCACTGCGCACGTACCCCTCCCCCAACTGAACGTCAACGTCAACTTACTATCAGTTGGCTGTTGTTGGGTTGGGGAGGGGAGGGATAGGTGTGGATACTGACATTAAGCCAAAATAATCTTGCCTTTGTAGCATGCCTATGTTACGCTTAGGGTATGTAAGATCTGAAGGGGACGGATTTCACGTGTCGAGGACCGTAGAAATTTGTCGACATCTCTCATTTAATTTAACACTTGCCTCTTCCGACTTCATTCTCCGTTTCTTATTTCCCGAATTGCATTGAGGCTAGAACTTCCTGATAAGAGCGAAAACAGTTTTATTTAACCACAAACAACATACAATCAGGCGATTTCCAAGGAGCTTGGAAATCGTTAAGGAAGATAAAATACTTTTTACATTTTTACAGTGCTTGGTCCTGAAAATTTTCATGAAGATTTACATGGAATGCTTAACGACATGGGCCGCTTCCACCACAGTGGGGCCTGATCTTTTGATGCGGGGATCGGAGATCGGTATTGCCAGCCTGTAAAACAGAGCGGAGATGCATTAGTGCAATTTTTAATGTTGTGTCGAAAGTAACCCGAGAATTTATTGGTTATGCTTTCCTTGTCCCATATTGGTCGAAGAAAATCGCACCACCCTCTTAACCAATCAGATGCAAATCTAAAACCAGCCGACACTTGATCACTAAGGTTTCCCGCGCTTCATACCTGAGTTCTCATTGGCTGCTTGCCATATTTTCCTTTAATGTGATTGACCCTTGGGATTACTTTGGCTTAAGTCGAAAACATTCATCAAAATACTTTTTTTCTTAAGTTTTCACACACACACACAAAAACAAAAACAAAAACAAAAAACAAAAACAAAAAACAAAAACAAAAACAAAAACAAAAACATACCTAACGTTGGTTTTGCTATTGACAATAAACAGCGGGTTGTATTGACTAAGTATCTCGTCGTTCACGGAAATTCCTGAAAATAAAGGCAAAACGTCCATATCTATACACGAACCATGATCCATGATCATACGAAGATAGGAATAGACTTCTTACTCGTAAACTCGGCCAACAGGATAAAATATTAAGAGTTCACTGACAACATTTTGTACATAATAGGATTGCGTGGGAACCAGCTTGTTCTTGACCACTCAGGAAGTAAGCGCAAAATCAGAGCTTTCTAAAATGAGGCTAACTTGGACTGCAAACAAACTCACACACTCACCATCTAGGTACTGTTTGAGGACGGCCCTGAGTTGCTGATTTTCTTGGAGAAGGGTGTGCTTCTCTTTATCAAGAGCTAACTTGTCAAGTAGAACCTTAAAATAACAAGACTGGTGATAAGTAACTTATATCGCAACAAATTCAACCTCTAATTTTAAACATAAGTGCAAGTCTCAATTATTTCCAAAGTAATCTGGGATTGCATTGGTTTTCATTTTCTCCACAGTGACCGATCTAGAAAATTTGCACCATCTTCGTAAAACAGTCAGAAATAAAACTAAACCAATCTCGACTTGGTAATGACATGGTCGGCCTGGTTTTCCAGCGTTTTTAAGACAATAGTCCATTTTACAGTTGTGTGCTTGGTTGCCAAGCCTTTGAATGGGAGTGAGGCTGAGGGTGACCTTGTTATGATACAAACCTTGCTGCCTTTCAAATGTAAATCACTTTGTTATCATGCTAACTAAATACAGGTCTCTATCATGACAAGGTCACCTTCAGCCTCACTCCAAATCAAAGGCTTGAGGCTTGGCAACTAAGTGCACAACTGTAAAATGGCCTATTAGTTGTTTATCATTTGAGTTCTTAGTGGCTCTTAAAGGTATCTTCTTTTCTTCTGATTGGCTGTCGCTCTATCATTCCCTCTTGCTATGATCAGCTGTGGAGATAGCTTTCGTTTTGTTTCACGAAACTCAATAAAAAGCAATCTGTATTGTGCTTGACTTTTTAGTTTAAGCCTGGGGCTTTTTATGGTGTTAAAAAAATTGTTGGGCAAAAGATCAATTTCTCACCTTGTTGTACCTCTTCCAAAAGTTCTCTAATGCAGAATACTCGTGTAGAATCTGATAAAGAATCATTCAATAGAGTTAGACGTTAAACAGAAGAGAGACATCTAATTTTACTCGGCTATTATTTGATGACAAACAACGGTGACAATCCCCAGTGGCTCGTGTGCCTCAGTTTTGTTCTCATGGCATTTCCACATTATGTAAGATCGCTGATTGAAAAAGCACACGACAAATTTGAACCAACTTATTAGAAAGTAATCTAGATTTACATTGGTTTTGCTACACTCTGCTCTGTGATTGGCCTGAAAAATCTCGCGCCACTATCTCAACCAATCGGATGCAAAAATAAAAGCTATCGCGACTTGGTCACTAGCTTTTCCTGCGCATCAGGTCGTCTGCTCGTGTTTACTTTTTGTTCTTTCTTCTGATTGGCCATAGTCCTAAGCTGCATCCTACGTTTTGTTTTGCAACACTTGATCAATAGCCCATTGCAGAAACGTGAGAGGACTGAGACGAGTTTCTTATATCGATTACATTGAAAATCTAAACATTTCAACTGAAATGTTACTGAATGTAAAGCTACCCAGTCAAGTTTGAGAGTTTTCAGCGGAAAAGTGTCCAAAGCGGAGCCTTGCAAAAGTTGCAAAAATTCAATACAAACCCTTAAAAGTTTCTACCTTGTCTACCCAATCCATACAAACTCTCTATTTTAGGTGATATTTGAAGAGCTTTCATTTTGCCATTTTCCTCCTCTAAATACTTCTGTTCTTGTTTAAGACTCTCAAATTTAGTTGATCTTTCATTTCAATATCTTAGTTTTTCAAACAAACGGAAAACAACCACACTCTTTCCCAGTCCTCTCACATTTCTGCAATGGGCTATGGGACTGCGTATTTTATCACCTCCGCTAGTGGTTCAGAGGGTGCTTCCTGCATGGCAGCAGCCACGTCATCTTCTTCTTCAGGTAATAGTGACGACACATAAAATGGTAAGACCTTCTCTG